TGATTTAGTCAAACAGTCAACTAAAAAGTCCATGTTAGCCATAAAACTGTTGGAATCATAAAAGAATAAAAGGCAAAACATATAAAGAATAGAGAAAAATAGACCAAAAAATATAGAATAGAGAATAATAGGCAAAAAGATAAACAGAGAAAAAAATGGCTTAAAAAAATAAGTGAATACGGAAATTCCCATGCAGACCCTTATATAGGGAAACCCCTATGTATTAAACAAACGTTTAGAAAAATAAATTACGCTGCGTCATTAAATGAATAACAAAAACAAAGATGAAAGCACCATGTTATGAACAGTTTGATACTTAGAAACATGTCTTAAGATCCATACTAGGTACGGCAGCCATTGATGTGACAAATAATAAATCTGCAAAATTTATGGTCGCAATTTTTAAAAGCGATATCATAAAACTTAATTACAATTAATTGTGTCAACTTAATATACATATCCGGTCATAATAAAAAGAGTTTGATTCTTTTTTTTCATTTTTTTTTTTTGTGTTTTTTTTTTTTTTTTTGCATATTCGTTGGTTATCATAACTTTATTGCATATTGCTTTATCCATTTGTAAAATATTATCGCAGGATTAGTCATAAAATAAATGTTTAACACGTCAGTATCAATTGCGTTCATATATATACATTGATTTTTAAGTGGTACTTAATATATCTGTAGAAGCTGTTATTCAATATAATCGGTAAAACAGTAAAGATTAAATCATGTTATCACGAGTTGATTTCAAAGTAATAATTATGTAACGCCTACAAACTATCTTTGACGCATCATCACTGAAGAAAAGTATGCAGCTCTGAAGATAACATCAGCGAAAACAGATTTACTAAATATATTCTGAGTTTATGTTATTTCCACTCATGGACATTTAACCCTTATGTTTGAATAAGTAGAAGATAATGAACACGCTTGTGCTATATACCCCAAACTAGACAACGTTTGGAGTGGAACAGGTAAAATTGACCATAAATGAATTTCCATAAGGGGACCGGTCACCCTCAACCCCACCCCCACCCCCTAAATCCGCCTCTGTCAATAATATATGGTCAAATTGCATTAAACGGATAATTTTCTTTTCAAACATTCTGAATTTCCCTTCTGCAGCATCTTAAACTAGAAATAAAAATCAAAAACAAATGTATTTATCTGTTTATCTGAAATGTTGTTAGAAATTCTAAGAAAAGATATACATTGCACGCAAAACCGATGGTTTTGTTTTCTAAAAATCCTATCTCCAAGATAAATCGATAAATTTCTCTTTGAAAATTAATTATAATCAAATGAAGGGAGATGTGTGGTAAATGTCGACAAGACAGGATCCACATACAAGCTATAAGACATATAGAGATCAGCATACCGTCTTGAACAATAGACAGATTTATCGCTATTTTACGAAATTTTCGTTTGATCTTACTGACTGATAATTTCCTTTCTCAGCAGAGTAGAGTGATATGAAAAATTATCGCTAGAAACTAAGGGCGCATGTGCCGTCGTCAACGAAATTAACAACGTCGTCAAAGGTAAAATAGCGATAAACAGATTATCATTGGTCATCTCAACTCGATTGCTTTTCTCACTTTCGCCGTACCGGCTCAAGCGAGAAAATCAATATCGTTGAGATCACCAACGATAATCTATAAGTATATACACTATGTCAAACTCGAAATCGTTCCTGGTCTATGTATTTGGACGATAAATTCCCCTTTAGTACACATACATGTATATCATAAAGTAACCGACTTCACATTAAATGTATATATAAACCATTTAGTAATACACATTGATAAATGAGTATTTTAAGATAATTTGAAAAACGGGAATAAAATATCATATGAGGCATATTTTGTATTTACCAAGAGTTTAGAGCAATGTATGAAGTTGATTTTGGTTTCATAATGGAACACTTGAAACTTGAAACATTTATTTTTCTACTATGTGAATATAAACAATAATGATAACAATAACATATATACAAAACGGGTAGGATATTCGATCCTCTGATACTAAATAACAAGCTTTTTAAAAGACTGTTATAAATTGGTAGTATATATTACTAAATAATGGAACTTAAAAAGTAGAAAAAAAGACAGGTCCGTATTCTTATTTTTGAGCTATAATCAATTGAAAATTTGGCGGGAAATGATACTCTCTAGATTTTTCATACATTGAACATTGGCACCTTTTTTCTTACAAAAACAATGAAAAAATAACAAGGATTTTATTAAATTTTCAAAAATGGCTTTTAAACTATATGTAATTAAATGATGAAAAGAAAAGTAGGGGTTAAGAGGTAACTATTTTATTGGCACTACACGGATAAAACTAAAGAATTTCGAATATCTGACAAAAAGTCAAGAACAAGTGTAGTGAACATCCTTAAATGAATGAAATGGCATGGTTTAATATGCAGTATGGTATAACGTACCTGTATTATGGAATAAACAGTAGAAGGCAAACCTAGCTAACAGTCAGACAACATTCAATGTATAACAGACAAAACAAGTTTACAAAAAATTGATAAGTATATTACATTACATGTATGTTTCATTATAATACGTTATTTTGATTGGCTAACAGCAATCTCGCGTCATTCTGAAATTAACCTTCATTTCATAATGAAATGTAACATTCATGACGACACGAGCTTCCACAATAAAGTGCACAGGTAAATAAAAGAAAAACTTGAAAGAAATCGTGTTTTCATGATCCTAGCAAAAAATGTAATTATAAGTATTGAATGCTTCTTTTAGTAATTTTATAGGGTTGTAAAAGCGTTGACCGTGCGCACATTTTTTAGAATAAAGCGCTTCATACAAAATGTACTTCGGTCAACGCTTTTACACCCCAACAAATTTACAAAAAGAAGCATTCAATTCTTAAATTACAATCGATCATAAGGTCACGTTATCGTGATGGCTAAAATTAGGCTACAGAATCAATGATACGTCAGTGTCCTGTTACACGGGGATACAAGTTGCTTTTATATTTGGGCAAAAATCTTATTAATAATATGCATTACTACGCAACATGCAATTTATCTTTCAGAAAAGAACATTATACTTGTTTATGTGCAGCAAGTTTAATGCAACTTTTTATGTTTATCTAATCAGGAAATTCCATATTGTTGACAATGTCTTAATTATATTTAAATTTTATTTAAAAAGTGGTACAATGCAGTTCGGTAAATCCACCCACATAAGGCTTTGATCGTATGTATTTCTGCTTAATTATATACAAATGTATGTCTTAGATATTTAAAACAAATTATATAGCCTTTTATAGCTTGCTATTCGGTATGGGTTTGCTCATTTTTGAAGGCCGTACGTTGACCTATAGTTGATAACTTCATGAGCAGACAACCTCGCGTCAAAATAACCAAAATACATCTTAAAGACAATTAACTAAAGACACCATGAACTTGAACTTAGGTTCATTTATACAGTTGTTGTTATCTATGTTATGTCAAAGCGGATACAATAGTGTAACTACAACAATTTATCTATGAAGCTGCTATTTGGTTTTTAGAATCGGCATTTTTCTTTGAAGTTAAGCTGACCGCCCCTTTCTTCGATTATCATATCTTAATAGGAATGGTCAAAATCTTGTGAGAAAAATACTTTTTTTTCAAATTAGTTTCAAGTTTTCTCTGCCTTAAGAATCCGTTGGTATGTAATTTGATCAGAACTCTTTGAACGACCTTTCGCTGAATATTGACCTTCGCTACTTCATTTTAACAATAATAGTCCAGAAACAATTCAGACGAAAAGGATTGAAAAAAACAGAAAAAAAGATAAACAGACAAAAATAGTCCAGAAAAAATTCAGACGAAAAATATCTAGGGGATATCAAATGCATACGTCGAAAACAAACTGACAATACCATTGCAAAATACGACCATCTGTTTAATTTTTAATATTTCTTAAAAAATTTAAGATTAGGTCGTTTAGGTTTTTGTTCGTTTACGTGCGGTCTTCTTGATAAATTCAACTAATATGTTTCTATCGGTAGAAGTTCTATTTGAATTTGCTTAGTGACTTCAATTCAAAAGTGTTACTATGTTCTGCCTATCTATCGGTTCTGTAAATATGTTTTTCTTAACCTCTCTAAACTAGCTGCTATCTGTCTACATGTAAGGAGGATTGGCGTTTTCAAATGCCATATACAGCCATATATATAAATCAAGGTTGTTATATGAGGGACACTTCAAACTAATTTTACGCAACATTAAAGCAAGCTGTTCTCATGTTCTATTTGAAAAAGGAACTAACTTTATATTGTAATTCTGTTTTTTTTTCTCTATTTTTATTTTTTTATTTTTGAACATAAAAAAAGATTGAATACTTGGTTTCTGATTTCATCTTTAGTTATCAGAAAATAATTGGTTTTCTTTTCCCAAAATTTATTTCGAATCGTCATTTCAACCTACTTTTTTTTTCTTTTTTTTTTTCGCTGAATTTTCTTTTCTTTTTTTTTATATATCCTGCTGCTATAAAGGGTGTTTAATGAATTTAATTATTTCCCTTTGTTTAATTTAACGTTTGAATAAACGATTGCAAACGATTCGCATCAAAACGATTAAAGGTTCCTTGAAATATCTTTTTATTGCAGATTATATGTTGTATTATTTGAATAATCAATTCAATTGTTTGTTTGTTTCCTTTCAATCAAAACGCAAAGCATACTATGACGTCTGTCAAACAGCATTATTGATCACTGGAGCGTTTGTTATAACAACATTTACACCATATTTAACAAACTTCTAATGGATCACTGCTTTTACAGAATCCAGTCTTGATTCCAAAGTGTTATCAACACTCTACAACAGACCGATCGATGCAATCAGAATAAATACAATTCGGTTCCCTCTGACCTTTTCCTAACTGTCACCATTGAATTAGCAGCATCTCATCATGGTAAAATTGTTAAATTTTGTCCAATCAAATATTAGAAAACTCTGATATCCATGGAAACGGTCTGCGCAAATGAATCTATATTAGGTTTTACAGATTTAATCGTACAGTTAGTTATTAGTTTAGTTGAGATAAAGAAACGCTAGAATATTATATTTTTGATAAGAGCGCGAGATTATTGTATTGGAATTATAAGACCATTGACAAAACAAAATTAAGAAACTGTCGAACGTACGAAGGAGAACAAGTTGAGAAAAACAAATACTTTTAAAGTTAAAAAAGAAATTAACAGCTATGAAAATCAGTTTGGAATCCTTGTGTGTACTTGTGTTTGTCTGTGTGGTTACAGTTCTATCAGCACCCGCCAAAAAGAATGTTGGTGAGTATTATATATTAGTCTGCATCTTTATATTTATACATCTCAAGTTGTCGTGAAATTTTATATCTTAGCTAATTTTGAATCATTTGAGATTTATCGAAGTAGTATAGGTATGCTGCAGCCTTTGTGTGCCCTTGAAATACTTTCTGTTTGTATTAAATTGTAAATGTTCGTCCTGAATATTAATGAAATATATGTCACTTGATAATAAGCAAGCATCAATGTTAAGTAAGAATGTTTTCTATTTTGGACATATGTCGTCGCACATGTGTCCATGTACGGGTAACAGTTACCTTTAATTCGCAATACTAAAGTGCGGGATAGTCTTTTAACAAAAAAAAACATTACAGATTTTTAAAAACATGAAAACTTGAAATTACGATCTAATATGAAAGAAATACTCATATCACTGGATATTTTGTGGTAGGAACCTTTTATTTTTTTAATCTACAAGATATTAAATACTGTGAAGTTTAACTCTCTGATTTCTTCGAATTATTACAGAATGTAGACAATAAATACAGTTTTTTGTTCGTTTAATTTCTTTTCGTGTTAACAATTGATGATACAAACTCAATTAGATGGGTAAAAGTAAAGCAGTGATAGAAAAAAGGAGTAAATAAATACATTACATAGTTAATCAAGGTCCATGAAATTCATAGAAATCTGAATTTGTTTTATACAACATCGCAAGAACCGATCGTATATGTACCTTATGTAATGAATGTATTAGTGACGAATATCATTATTTATATGTATGTAATAATACTACTTTTACTGAACTTCGAAAGAAATATATACCGAAATATTATACAATATACCCATCTGTACTGAAAATGCAAAAGATGCTATCGTTATGTCACTGTCAGTTATTGCATAATTTATCTTTATCCTGCAATCGACTTCTCTACTATACTAATACAGGTGTACAGATATCACTAAGCGATATACGTATACTAGACGGATACAGTCTCCTGGTATCCTGCTTCTGTTGCGAGCGAACGATTATGTCAAATTAATGTTTACGTTACAGGTCAATTTGGGGTCCTCATCGCGGTCCGCGTTTAAGTCATGTCGATTTCTTTAAAAAAAAATTCAACGATTGGCTGGAAAAAAATGTACAAAATTCATTGCAGGATAAAGACAATAACTGTACAGTGTCTTTAAATATCAGTTGTATTTGTACTCGGCTCGAAACAGGCGTAATAGCTCGCTGAAGCTCGCATTACACCTGTTTCTTAGCCTCGTACAAATACAGCTGATATTTAAAGACACTATACAGTTATTGTCTATATATTTATCAAGAAACTATCATTTAGTAAGATGCATGTATCTTACAAGTTTTATGATCTTTAGAATGCACACTTTTGTTATTAGTTTCCTGTCTATTCTGTCATTTATTGTATTTCATTTGTAATTTGTCCTCATGTAACACATATTTTGTGTCTGAGTGTAAATAAAGAATTTGAATTTGAATTCACGGTTTTGAATTCATAACAGAAAATTAAGTACATCCAAAAATCTCCATTTCTCATATTCGGTATGCAAAGATCATTTGATAAGATGAAATGCACTGAAAACATGTGTTTAACTTCACCGATGACATAAGTTTGGTTTTACACTTGTAATTTTTGGGGCCCTTTATAGCTTGCTCTTCGGTGTGAGCCAAGGCCCCGTGTTGAAGACCGTACTTTGACCTATAATGGTTTACTTTTATAAATTTTGACTTGGATGGAGAGTTGTCTCATTGGCACTCATACCACATCTTGTTATATCTATATACCGGTATTATGCAAATTCCTGCTACACACACTTTACAAATCCAAATTCATAGCAAAGGAACATCGGTTATATATTTTTCTCTGTCTTCCTCTTTTTATTTCTTTAAATTGTTCTTGATCTTAAAGACATTGACTTTAACCTTTAACAAAGATCAGATACATATTTACAAATAAACTACCTCAACCCATCCCATTTTTTTTTACTTAAAGCCGGATATTACTCTGAAAGACGACAGTACACATAACTTTCTGCATTCTATGTTTATTTTGTCGTGTATCTCTTTATTATTAAGACATCTATTAAATCGAAAACTTGAACATCTCCCATTCAACATGCAATTTGAATGTTGTGGTTTGTTAACTGCTGTTTGCCTGTAGGTCGTTTTTCATTTTTTGCCATGGGATTGTCAGTTCGTTTTCGACTTTTGAATTTGACTATCCCTTTGGTAACTTTCGCCTCCCTGTACTATTTCCGTAGCACAATTCTTATCATACTCTAAATTTTAAATGAATGTATTAATTAAATGTGCTCAAAATGTCAAATGAGTAAGCATTTTTAATCATTTTCATTAGTAATCTATATATATAATTTTTTTTTATCTTTTACGTGATATGAATATTTATATTTATATTATTATTATTATACTTGTATTCGATTTAATCAGATTTGTCAATGAAAGTGAAAAATATTAATTAATTTTGAATATTTCAGTTTTGAACGGTTAACGGCCGTTTCATTTGACACGATAGAATAATTAATTGGGGTATGGCAGATGTTTCTTTACATGTAATATCCGTTAATACGACTGTTGATGACGCTTCTCGGTTATCAATACCTGACAGATTAATTATTCATGGAAATATAATACAAGTATTACTTTTCTGTTAATTGATGCGATTTGTAATAAAATTTCAAATTTATTGTTAATCTTATCGATAATATGTTGCAAAATGTCATATTTTTCAGATCAATTTTTCCTTAAGAGTATTCCAATAGGATATGAACTCTTACATTAATAACGCCTTGTAAAAAACCTATTAAATTGTTTGGTTTCTATAATATAAAATGTGTTATAAATGCATTGTTATAACATCATAACATCATTAAAGGTATCAATTGTATTGCACCAAATGCTCATTTCAACATTTAATATTTAAGTGCCAGTCTTTGTAAGAATCAGGCAATTTTGAAAAAAATCAAAACATGGCCGAAAAAAACCCATCGACCTAACTACCCTATTTTTAAGGTACCCTCTTCCTGAGTTAGAAATGGTAGGTCTTTTGTTTCTGTGTGTCTGGTAATTCGAGAAAAATCTAGATAAATTTTGGTTAGAAAGATAGGAAATTACGGAGTTATCTCCCCTTAATTGTTAATTTATAGTGCATTTCAACCAAATTATATCTTGAGTTACCAGAACAGGAAAAGGAAACGAATGTTATATTCATGCACCATTATACATTTTGAACATAAATTAATGTAAAGCTGAGTGGGTTTTTGTTTGGCATGTTTTCACCACTGCCTGATTCTTAGGCATATTGGCACTTAATACAAACGTTGGAGGGCTGATAAAGAATAAAAAAAAGATTAAAGTAAAACCAATCACGGACTGCGGATTCGAGCTTTGCATGAGAGGGATACATTCCTTAGTTTTCGAAATTTTATAACCGAAATTTTATATCAAACAATATTTGTATATATATATATGCCAGAACTGATGTACTGACTACTTGCAGCTTGTAGTAGTAACGTTAACGGTACCTATGTTGCTGCATAAGTGATTAAATCAAAAGACTCATTTGTTTTTTGTTACAATATATCCTTTGTTGAATTTTGTTGTTGTTGATGTTGATGTTGACATTCAGAATTGAAAATGCATGTATTTGGAGTTTAGTATGACGTCCATTATCACTGAACTAGTATATATATTTGTTTAGGGGCCAGCTGAAGGACGCCTCCGGGTGCGGGAGTTTCTCGCTGCATTGCAGACCCATTAGTGGCCTTCGGCTGTTGTCTGCTTATGGTCGGGTTGTTGTCTCTTTGACATATTCCCCATTTCCATTCTCAATTTTATATAGCATAATCACGATATGAGGTTGGTACTATCAGAACTATTACACATATATATATATATATATATATATATATAATTAAACAAATAAAATCATATCCTATTTATAAATTCAATAGTATATGGAGTGTCGTAGTCAGGGCTAAAGTGAGTGCACAAGTTACTTAATCTTACAAATGAAAAACTAGTTTAAAGAGGAGCATAAATATCGTTGTCATCCTTTAAGTTAGAATTATGGAAATATTAGGGAGATTTAGAGTAATTTGCGAATAAGACAACTATATATATCCAACAATGGTCTTTAATCTTTGTTTCAAACAAATAGAGGGAGCGTTTTTGCAATTTCTTTTGTCGATGTGCAACATTTTAAGGCAAATTTGATTTTTCAAATAGGAATCGGTTTTTAAAAAAGCGACACATATAGCATATATTTATCTATACATTAAAAAGCAATGGATGCTATACCCTGAAAGAAGACAATACAAATAAAGCTAACCTTATCTTAAGTATTTTTTGGGGACTTTGAACTTTTTTTTAATACGAGCAATGAACGGGCTCGTTTATTTTGAAACATTTTGCTCGACACCTTCCAGTCGAAATTTTGCAACATTATTTGTTCCCAGCTGTCCTACTCAGTCACATTCATTTATCTTTGTTATTCGCGCAAATCACCGTCTTCCTGCCACCTGATAACTGGTAATGACTGTTTGTCAGGTGGCGGTTAATTCAGAACAGGTGCTTTGCACAAAATAATGTTGCATTTACCCTTATTTTAGTTCAACACATTATTTGTTTCATAATCTCAAGTTAAGGCAATAATGTAAAACAACAGACTACATGAATTGATTTATCAAACAGTTCCTCAGGATCTAAACATTCATAAAAGTTTTAAAGGTGAAGGGATTTGTTGTGTGGGGATTGTAGACCATCCATTTATACTTTGGATTTGTGGCGACATCGTTGAATATAAAAATAGGTTATACTGAACATGATCAAAAAAGTATGGTTAAATAATAATTAACATCAAAACAGTTCTCAGTGTAAATCAACGAGGAAATTTCTGTATTTCAATATTTGATATATATTTTTCATAAATTTATGAATTCTCAAAAAAATTTTGGACAAATTTAACGTATAAAATCATAAACTG